GTGGCTCGCCCCGGGCTTGCGGGAATCCTGCCGCTGATCAGTTTCAGCAGCAGCTGACTTGGGGACACCTGAGGTTCTTAAGTTGAATATGTATGTAAGAACTGGCATCCAGATTCAGCCTGTTAAAACTGATCAGCGGCTGATTCCAGGAAGCCCGGGGCAGAGCAACTCTGCCTCGGGCTTCCTGTAGTCAGCTGCTGGTCAGTTTCGGCAGCGGCTGAATCTGGATGCCAGTTCCGATTTACATACAGATTCAACTTAAGAACAAACCTACAGTCCCTATCTTGTACGTAACCCGGGGACTGCCTGTATGCCCACATCTTGAATACTGTGTACAGATGTGGTTTCCTTCTCTCCAAAAAGATATATTGGCATTAGAAAAGGTTCAGAGAAGGGCACCTAAAATGATTAGGGGTTTGGAACGGGTCCCCAATGAGGAGAGATTAAAGAGACTAGGACTTTTCAGCTTGGGCAAGAGGAGACTAACGGGGGATATGATAGAGGTATATAAAATCATGTGTGGTGTGGAGAAAGTGAATAAGTAAGAGTTATTTACTTGTTCCCATAGTATAAGAACTAGCGGCCACCAAATGAAATTAATGGGCAGCAGGTTTAAAACAAATAAAAGGAAGTTCTTCACACAGTGCATAGTCAACCTGTGGAACTCCTTGCCTGAGGAGGTTGTGAAGGCTAGGACTATAACAGGGTTTAAAAGAGAACTAGATATATTCATGGAGGTTAAGTCCATTAATTAAGTCTATTAGTCAGTATGGTAAGGAATGGTGTCCCTAGACTCTGTGGCTACGTCTATACTACAGGCTTTTTGCACAAGAACAGCTGTTCTTGCACAAAAACTTGCTGGCTGTCTACACTTGCACGCGCGTTCTTGCGCAAGTCAATTTATAGTACAGCGTCGGAAGAGTTATTCCTCTCCCCACGAGGAATAAGCCCTTTTGTGCAAGAGCTCTTCCACAAGAAAGCAGTGTAGACAGGAAACATTAATTTCTTGCGCAAGAAACCCCTATGGCTAAAATGGCCATCAGAGCTTGTGCAAAACAGTTCTTGTCAAGAAGTCTGCAATGTAGGCGTAGCCTGTTTGTCAGAGGGTGGAGATAGATGGCAGGAGAGAGATCACTTGATCATTACCTGTTCAGTTCACTCTCTCTGGGGCACCTGGCATTGGCCACTGTCGGTACACAGGATAACGAGCTGGATGGACCTTTGGTCTGACCCAGTATGGCCATTCTTATGTTCTTAATTTGTTAAACAGATACATTAAGGAAATATTTTCCCCTGCCTTTTCTCTTTACTGCCTTTTTCTCCAACTTTTAGTATCTGTAGAATCATTTCAGTTCTTTATTATTTATTTTAAAAACTATGATGCAGTGAGTTTCTTTTAAATATTAAATCTTTGCTAAAGAGTTAAAAAATACACCTGTTGGGAGGCTGCTCATGTACTTCATGACTACGACAGTCCCTGGATTGAATCAATACAGCACTGCTAGAAGTTTTGTATGGTTGAAAAGAGAATTTGGTGGTTCTCTCCCAATGACTTAACAGGCCAGTTTTGGAAAAGATAGAATCGAGCTGTCTTGTGAGGAAATAAGTAAGTCACCTTGTATCATGTGTATTGGAAATGGAAGCACAGAGCATCCTTTTTGTTAGCAACTTAGAAACATTTTTTCTTGTCTTTTGGTATTTGGGGGCAAGTTCCTGATTAGATAAAAGATTTTTTTATTTGGTACTCTATTTAAACTCATACATGCAATAAAGCTTAATGTATTAATTACAGATGGTGAAGTTGGCAACTCTTTTAGTTAAGGTTGCCTGACACATTCCATTAAAAGACCCAGTTTTCAGTTACTTATAACTTTACCAAACTTCAACCATTTGGGGTGAATTTTTCTGTCAGGTAGCCAGCTATATCAGGCTGACTTTTTTTGGAATTGTTTCCGTACAAACAGTTCACTCGTTTCTGTGATCAGATTTAATAGAAAGTACATTATTTTGCCCATTTGAAAAAAAAAAGTTACAACTTTTTGCTGAAAAGCCTGACTGCAGTTGTGGGTCAGAAAGGGGAAGAGTGTTTGTGTCCTGCTAAGGTTGGCTTTTCTCTAAAGGGAACGCTCCTGGCTTTGGTCAGTTCAGCCAACACATGTCAGACTTTCACATACCTCTGTTTGCATTCATGCAGTGTTTGACTGTGGAGGGATATCCTTCATTTGTTTCTGCTTAATGTCTCAGAGATTAGTTAGTGAACAGTTGTTTGTGATCTGGTAGACTGATACCGGCCCCTCATGGGTCCACTTCAAAGTTAACTTTCTAAAAGGCTAATATTATAGGCAAATATAGTCTTAGTTAATAGAATTCTGTTTTTTGTCAGACGAGATTTTAGTTGAATTATAGCTTTGTTAAATTATATCTTGTTTAATTTTAAAGGTCAGTGTTTGAATATATAACTGAGTTTGGGCTAATGAGACCAATAGACCTTGGAAATTATATTGTTTCCTGTTCATCATTAATGTGAAACAATACTCTGAGGTTGAGAAGCTACAAGTCATCCAATTATCCTTACACTGGATTCGCCCCCCCCCCCCCCAATACTTTATGGAAAAGCGACTTGTAAAGATGGGAGTACCTATTCCTGACCTTTACATTGACAGTGGAGACTTGCAAACTAACTATGCAATCACTGGTCATGACTTCATAGGTAAGGCTGAGTGAGAATTTTTCAGTTTAACTAGAACTTCAAAACATTTATTTTATAAAAATGTCATTACAATGACAAAAATAACAGAGCAAATGTTGACTACTATGGCTTTTTTATAGTTGTTTGAAAATTGGATTTCTGTAGACAGAATTATGAGGTTTGCAAAATGACCTTTCAAAATGTTTCACTGAGTGCCTTACTACTCTTCAGATATCCTTTAGAAATATAAATATTTTTGGATTTGTGCTTTTCTCCATTTACTGCTCATTATGTTCTTATAAATACAATATCAGTTATATATAGGTAGCCTGGGTCATGATTTTTTGCTCTTTCTCCATAACTGAAAAGAAAAACACCACATCACACCTACTGGATTTCTCAGTAGGCTTGGAAGGACTGGTTTTTTATTGGCAAATGTGAGTAAATGTCAATTTCGTAATATACACACAAACCTATTAAAATATTTCCAGCAATGATCATTGAAATTTACAGATAGGCAAAGTAAGAAAAATGCTGCTTTTAGAGTCTATTGGAGTTTGGTTTAGGGGTATTTAATTTGCATTTTTGTCATGTGATATTGATTGTTTGTTTTAATGCTGTATAAAATTTATTTACTTTTTGAATCCTGTAATCAGTACATCATTATTGTCTGATCACTCCACTGTGAAAATTTAAATTGGTAGAAATAGAAAAAAAGCTTAAAACACACATACGCATCAAAATTAGTTTAAAAAAATCAAATTCTGCAAAGCTTTTATCGGTAACAATATATGACTTGCCAAGGGAGGTGGGGGAGTCTGCTACTAAATACCGTGGTAATTTAGGAGAAAGTTTTCTGGTCCATGAAAAGGAGTTCATGAGTTTAAATCTCAGGTGTACTACTGGGAGTTTTATTAGGATTTACTGGAAAACATTTTTGTTTCACAGAAAATGTTGATATTTTGAATTTTGTTTTCTTTCATTGTTGTAGGAATGAAACCTTTGGAGGGTGTGTGTGTGTGTGTGTGTGTGTGTGTGTGTGTTTGAAAACTCAATGAAAGCAACCCTCTGCCAGAATAGCCAATAGCCCAATATTTAGGGCACTAACCTAGAAAGTGGGCAATACAGATTCAAGTCTTTGCTCTGAATTAGCCAGGTGAGATGAATTCTTGGCTGTTCTGGAGAGATCTCTTTATCTCAGACCAGACATTCCAGTTTGGACGCAAGAAACCTTTCCAACAAAATTTTGTGCAAAACCAATAAGTTTCCTCAAAATATTTCTGTTTTGATTGGCAAAATGTTTAATCAATTTTTGACCAATTCTAGCTTTTATTCCCATACACTTAACCACTCAAGAAAACAGTCATATATGAGCTGCCTGTATATTTTACAAATAAATCATAGTTGTCACACCAGATTACTACACGTAAAGAACCCAGGACTTTAATGTGATAGACTTAGATCCTAGTTATCCTGCAGTTGAACACATTTAATTGTTCTAACATTAATTGCTAAACCATTTTTCTTGTACGGAACCAACATTTTCTGATCTTCAGTATATTACTGTTGTCAAGAAAATAGATGCACACATTGGGAAAGTGTGTGTAACATCATGAGCCAGTGACTGAACTAAGTAGAGACTAACAATTACTCTTGTAGATCAAATGGTCAATTCCTGATCTGAAGTTTCAACTCTTGCTCTTAATCTGTGTTATAGATGTATATAACAAATGTTGTTTGTATCATTTTCTGTTTAGAAACAACTGTTTAATTCATGCAATGAGAAAACACCATGTAACATATATTTGTAGTTTTAAGACCTATTATGTGTAGCTTGTGGTAGGATACATTAAAATGCATGTGCTTTCACATTTCAATCATTTGTCATCTTTTACCCTCCTGGCCTTTGGTTGAGTGTATTGCGATAAATCAACCCTGTGCACTTGAATGTATGAGTGTGTGTCTTTTGTATAAATCACCATCTTCGTTTAGTGACTCTGTTGGGACACAATCCAGGAACATGAAATCTAAAAGAAACCTGGAAGCAAGTTGAGAGGCAAAAAGCCTTGTTGATTTCTTGTATTTCTACTTCCAAAAGACATGAAAAACTATATGTGGTCCAACTTAGTCATACTTTTATAGTACTGTACACTCTAATGATGATCTCAGCAAAGTTAAGGTAGAATAACTTCCCATGTGAATGGAATATTTGATAGTTAATGTGTTGATACAATTATGAATCATATTTATTACAATAATGTCTGTGGTGCAATTAATAACAGGGTCCCATAGTAATAGGCAGGGTACTGACAAAACGAAACACAGTCCTGCCCTACTACACTTATATCTCAGAGACCAAAGAAGTGCTCTGATAGCTGTCAAATCTCAGTTGGTCACTACTAAATCTCAGTTGGCTTTCACGTGCAAAGTACCCTTTAATGGACCAGTGAATCTGTCCCGAGATGTGTCTTTAAGCAGTATCTTTCTCTGAGAAGGCTGATTGAGAGATGGGGGACGGAGGTGAAAGATTCTGTATAAGATGATGGAAAATGTTTATTTATACTTGCAATTGGGGAGTTGGCTTTTAAAGACCTGAACATAAGTTTATAATGTATTTTCATTTGTATTTTTACTTCCTTGTGTAGGTTCAGAGTGCAGGTTTTCGTGGATGGAAAGAAGTGACCTCTATGTTCAATAAAGATGATGAACAACAATTGCTAGCAGGGTGCAAGCCTCCAAAATCAAAAGGGTAAGGAAAACTTAGCAATGGCAAGTGAGTTAGAAAATCAGAAAACTAAAGATAATGTCTGAAGGATCACTGGAGTTAGTAAAGGTAGGACCAAAAGAACCAAGTTAGAAAAAATATTAATCTATTGAAAATTTCAGCAAGCTAAATGGTTTATATTTTTTTTAAACTGTTAATTTGCATTCTTCAAATTTGATCTCTTATTTAAGCTTTGAACTTAAACATATAGGCCTGCTCTAATAGGCTTGGTGATCAATATGTGCTGGGAGACATTGATGATAAATGTAGTTGGAGTAACAGCCTTTTTCTGCAGAATGAAGCCTCTGAAGGATGTGTATGTGAAATATCTGTTGCACTGTTTTTCCTCCTTTGAGTCAAACAAATTCTATTTTGTAGTGAAAAAATCAGTCCAAAGCCACTTTTAATGCTTTTGTCTGATTTTTCTGTATAGATCAAAATGAAATAACTGATTGGAGTGCCAGTGAAGTGCTGGATAACCAATAGCAGCACTCTGAAACTAAGCCAATATTACTTTCTCTTAAAAAGCAAAAACAAAACCTCCCAAGTCACTTAAAATGTGATTACATGCTGAAAAGCAACTATGTAAAGTGATACTTTCTAATCTAGCAATCTGTTCCTTGCATGTATGATTCAGTTTAACAATAAAAAGGTTTTGACTATATTCTTTAATAGTACTACAACACAAGTACAGCTTAGAGAGAATCCAACTTTTTCACTCTTGTGCTTCATTTAGTATAGTTGTTTACTAAGATCCAGTTACAGGGTCAGTCAAGTTGCACTTGAAGACAATAGTTACACAGTCACTGTGAGCCCAGTTTGCTTATAGAATGGTCATGTGAGAATGCTCACGTAAACAACCCAGATTAATCCAAATTCTCAGGCTGAATTTGTTGACTTGCCAGTTGCATAATATCTTCTGATTGTAAAGCGAGCGCACATGATATGGAAACTGAGATTCTGTAAAAATAGCAAAACATTGTCATTTTTAATTAGATTTCAGAGTAAAACTACACTTTTAAGGTTTCTTTTTCTGTAAAGAGCTCTTGATTTTATTTTTTATAAAATATAAAACTATGTGATCTAGCCATGAAAAATAAGAACATCATTGGGAAATCTAAGGCAGCGTCTAATTAGATTTGGGGTTAGGAAGGATTGTTCAGATTAGGTTGGCAGAGACCCGGAGTGGGGGTGTTTCATCTTTCTCTGCAACATGGGACATGTATCATTTGGAGGTTTAAACTAATGTAAATACTGGATTGTCCGTAACTTGAAATCCTTTAAATAATGATTTGAGGACTAAAATAACTCAGAGAGAACTTTAGAAACAACAAATAGTCCTGTGGCACCTTAGAGACTAACAAAAATGTAGATGCTATCATGAGCTTTCACGGGTACAACCCTCTTCTTCAGATGAATAGAAGTTAAGGGGTCTAGGTTCTATAAAAATAGTAGAGAAAGAGAGGGGATGAGGAGCGAAAGGAGAAGAGAAAAAACGGGAAAAGAATAGTCAGTTAGCGTGTCCATGCTAAATTAATCTGGTAGAGTGGGCTCTAAGTACTCTTAAGTACCTGGTGTTTGGCTTTTTATGTCATTAGGACGTGGAATGTAACAGGTTAAGATGTTTGTTTAAACCTCAATTGTAGGTATCAAGCTTGTACATGAAATTAAGTTCCGTAAGATTCCCTTTCAAGCTGATTTTTTAAATCCACTTGTAATAATATGGACATTTTGAGATCCTTTAATGAGTGCCCAGACAAGTTAAAATGTCCCCCAACAGATTTCTCTGTGTGTTACCTTTTGAATATCTGATTTGAGTCCATTAATCCTTCATCGTAGAGACCGTCCAGTTTGGCCAATATAAATGGCAGAGGGGCATTGCTGGCACTTGATGGCATAGATCACATTAGTGGAGTTATATGAGCCTCTGATGTAGTGGTTTATGTGATTAGGTCCTGTGATAATGTCACTTGTATTGATGTGTGGACAGAGTTGGCACCAGAGTTGATTGCATGGGTGGGTTCCTGGATGAGTATGATTTAGGTATAATGCATGGTTGCTGGAAAAAAATTGTTTGAAGCTAGGGATTTGTCTATAGGCGAGGATTGGCCTGCCCCTCAAGGCATGTGAGAGTGAGGGGTCATTTTCCAAGATTGGTTGTAGATGCTTGATAATGTGCTGGATAGGTTAAGTTGAGGACTAGGGGTGGCCAACCTAAACATGAAAAGGAGCCAGAATTTACCAATGCACATTGCTAAAGATCCACCAGCCAATCTCAGCACATCCTGCCCACTGGCAGTGCCTTCTCCTCCTTTCTCTCCTGACCACTGTGATCAGCTCTTTCTCAGTGGGAGACACTGGAGGGGGGAAGAATGTGTATGACTGGCTCAGTGGAGAGGGTAAGAAGTGGCAGGATCCTAGGGGGAAAGGTTGGAGGGGGACAGCACCTAGGGTAGAGCTAGGGGTTGAACAATGAGCACCCTCTGGCCCAGTGGTAAGCTGGTACCTGTAGCTCCAGCCCTGGATTTGGTACCTATATAAGGAGCCTCATATTAACTTCCGAAGAGCCACATGTGGCTCTGGAGCCACAGGTTGGCTACCCCTGCTGTAGGTGATGACAAGAGGAGTTCTCAGTCAGAGAGATTTGAGATCTGTTACAGGAGTGGATTGGGGAGGTTCTGTAGTCAGACTAGATGATCTCGATAGTCCCTTATGACCTTAAAAATCTGAGTCTATGAGATTAAAATAGCCGCAACAGATTTTTTTATTTTAACAACTGAGTAAAGATTACTTAAGGTATTGATATTCAGTCCCTTCTATGTAATTGGGGATATTAATAATTTCCCTATTTCATAGGTTGTGCGCTGAAATTAAAGCAATTTTCATCTGTAATCTCCTCCTCCCATCTAGTTTAATGATTCAGTTATTCAATTCAATGATTACTTTGGATGCAAGAAGGACAGTTGACTGTGCATTATTAGTGGATAATACTTTGAATCTGCTTCACTTCATAATTCACGGACTATCCAAGGTTATGTATGCATCAGCATTAGTACCCGATCTTTGTGTCTTACTATTTAATTATATAAACTTTCTTGTATAAACATATGACATTTTGCATTTTTAAATGTTATACACCACACATATTACATTTATTAACCTATAAACAGCTAAAAGACTAAATTATTTATTTCAAGTACACTATAAAAAATCTCTCTTTCTTTTGATAATGTACAGTACTTAGCAGCAATTTCATAAAGTGGTTTTTATGGCAATGCATTGCTGCCAAAATATAATATAAATATTTCCAGGAACGCTAGTAACTAAAAACATTGCAATGCATATTAAATATTTTTAGACATAATCTTGTAGAGTTAAAGTTCATGTATGAAACTTAGTATTACAGTGCCTGAATATTAAAGCTTGTTGGCAATTGACAGCCATTTGTATAATGTATTTCCTTTTACCTCTGTGATTTAATGTTTGTTGAATTTGCCTAATTGTTTTGTCTGCTATAATGTTAAGTTTAGACAAAAAATAATGTAATAAAAATACAAATAATATTCAGTTGAATTATAACACCTGGTTGGGACCAGTAGTCTGGTGAGCAGCTCTTTCTGAAGCTGACAATAATGAAGCCTAGATATATTGGCATAGTATAGTCACCATCATGGGCTGATACTTTAACCTTAGTAAATGTGTCTGCATGCTCAGCTTTGGGTAAAGAGCACACATAATTTTAACATATAAAATTTACTGCACAACCTTATTTCTATTTCTGTATAGAAAGACATTTGCAACACAATAGATTGAAAATGTATCAGTTATATTAATATTATGAATGAACATTGTACACTTTGCTTAATTAGAAAAAATGAAATTTAACAACTTCCTATGCATGTGTTAAGTCAAAATAATTTAGATTAGTTAATGTTTCTCTATGAGCTGCTCAAAGGAAACTGGAATAAATTAATTTTAGGATGCAGTATGTTCCTTAAACATTAATGGCTATAAACACACTTTAAAAAGTCAAAATTTAACTTCTCAAAACTTGGCTTTGTTAAAAAAAATGATGCAAACTTTGGTTTAATGTAAGGATAACTTATGGTAGACATTAACTCCAAAGGCATGTGGCACAAAATATTTCAAATTGCTCATATTTCTCATATTGATGGCTTTGGTTTTATTGCTTTGTTCAGGGTATTTCTTGGAAATTAGTGGAAAAAAATCTCTTGTCTCTCCTGCCTCCTTTTCTAGTTCTGATTTATTGTATTCCGCAGTCAACCTGAAAAGCTTTTGTGGTATTTGTGTCCTTTTTATTTTTCAAATTTTGTTCATGATCTTTTAGGGCATAGATCCTGCAAGTTGTTAGTACTGGGTGGGACTCCTACACATTGAGTGCTCCCGTTGACTTCTTGGAAGCTCAGCAAAAGCAGAGAAGTCAACTCATGCAGAACAACTTGCAGGAACATCTTGTAGGCCTTAGTGTCTTCTTCAGTGCATAAAAATGATCCCCAGATTTCTTTATACTGAAAAAAATGTAGACATTTGATTTGTTTGTGTTGATAAAAATATTCTCTTGTTGAAAAGAAAAAAAATTGCAAAGATATCTTTGAATTTTCCACACTCTCAATCAAAGTTGTTGCAAACTTATCCTTTCTGGTATCTGGAGATGTGAAAATATAGTATAAGAACGAAGTTCCATATAACAGTAATAAATAATTTAATGATACACTTGAGCATTTGTTACATATGTAGATATTTATTGTGTAGTAGTTTTGAATGAAACAAAGGATTTTTTTTAAAAAGTCATTCAGCTTAAAAACATAATCCTACACTTATGTTTGGTCTATACTAGGAGTTTAGATCAAATTTAGCTCCATAAGGTCAATTTTCTAAACGATGCATCCTCACTACCAAGCCTGTCGTATCAATCTTAAGAGTCGCTGAAGTCGATGTTGGTTATTCCTGATTTTACAAGGAGTAATGCTGTTCCCAATCTTTCACGGTTGAGTTCATGATAACGTAGATGCAGCGTTGGCGAAAGTTGAGGCTATTGGCTTCCAGGAGGAGCCCCACGGTTTCCCCCTCTGGCCAGAACCTGCACCTCTGCTGCTTTCCAGGTGAACAAAAGAAAACACTGGGAAAGTTTGAATTTCATTTCCCATGTAGCCAGCATTTCAAGCGCATCTCTGAGCAAGCAGCATACTGTGGCACACACAGACATGACTCTGACCAATTCAGATACAGCAAACACTTTGACTATTTCTCCGCTGGGCTCCAGTTCCCAAGGGGGCAGAAGAGTGCCAGTGTGGAGTGTCCAGGAGATTGTGGACCTTATTGAGGTGTTGGGAGATGAATCCATTCTCTCCAAGTTCCAAACCAGCAAAAGGAATGCTGATATTTATGGCAAGATCGTGAGCTGCCTGGTGGAGAAAAGCCATTCCAGAGATGCTCAGCAGTGCCGAGTCAAGTCCTGTTACAAGGCAAAGGAGGCTAGTGGACAATCTGGTTCAGCACCTCAGAGATTCTACTTCCAAGAGCAGCTGGATGCCATTCTGGAATGGGAGAGGCCCGACCAGCTTCCCAAGCCTAACTGTAGAGTCTGGCCAAGACAGTCCTAGCATCAGCATAGAGGACAGCATGGTGAGGAACAGGAGGAGACTGGCCAGCTGGTGATTGACAAGAGCCAAGATGTGACACTGTAGTCAGTCTCCTCCTCCCAGGATGCTCTGCCAGTCGTGCACTGACCACAGGGAGGGCACTTTTGGTTTCACTATTTTCTCTTACAAACAGCCTTAGCCCACTTGTAGTGTGATGTGTGATATGCACTATGCCTATTCAGCACAGGGGGGCTGAAATAGCTTGTTAATGTATCTGGAGATGGAGCCGGAGTCTTACGTGCACAGCTCCATGAAGCTCTCAGCTAGGAACTCTTTGATCCTTCTCATAAGGCTTTTAGGGAGGCTTGCTTTATTTCATCCTCCACGGTAGGACACCTTCCCGCACCTAGCACCAGTAAGTGGTCTGGAGTCACTGAATCACAGAAGAATTGCAGCATAAGGCCCAGATTTCTGGCCACATTCAGTCAGCATCCACTCCAGATCACTCTGTGTGATTTGGAGAAAACTGATATCTCTCATGGCAACCTGGATAAAGGAGGAGGGGAAGTTATTTGCACTTTCCCTGGGAGGCCATTGTTACCAATATGCACCCCCGGAGCGTTCAAGAAGTACCACTTCTCTGGGACGCTGTGTGTGCTGGACCTAGTGTGTGCTGGACACAGAGGGAAGCTACCTTTATCCCTCCCCTTTCCCGGCTCCTGCCCTAGCTAGGAAAGTAGCACTTTCCTGTGAAGCCATTCTCTCCTGCAGGTGTGAGGTCGGGAATTAAAGGCGCAAACAGGGAATGCAGGGATAGCTTGTTGAGAGCATAATGGAAGACTCTCAGAACTGGCCATTTGTAAAACTGTTCTTCAAGGCCTCTCTGATTTGCGCTGCCTCATTCTGTGCTCTCCTTATTACCCTGGTGTCGAGCTGGAATGTCTTAGCACCCCACCCTGACAGATAATCTTTGTGAGATCAAGGGGAAAACTTATGTAGTACACAATAACCTGCCATAACAAAGGGAAGGTTGCATTCACTGAGGTCCAACTGAGTCACGAGACTCCTAAATCTACCCTTTAAACATCCACAAGCACATTCAACCACCATTCTGCACTTGCTTAGCCTATAATTGAATTTCTTGCTGTGGTTTAGGCTGCCCATGTACAAGAGCTATGGACAAGGGGTAGGTTGGGTCACCAGAAATCGCAATAGGGATTTCCACCTCTCCAATTCTGATTTTTCTGTATGTGAAAAAAGTTCCACTATGCATCTTTTGGAAGAGGCAGGAGTCCCTAAAGATGAGCACATCATGTACCTTTCCCGACCATCCCACGTTGATGACAGTGAAATGGCCCTTCTGATCTACCAGCACCTGCAGCACCATAGAGAATTACCCCTTGCAGTTTATGTACTCCTTGGCAAGGTGGTTGGGGGCCAAGATGTGGATGTGGGTTCCGTCTAGCACTCCACTGCAGTCGGGGAACCGCATTGTGATAAAGCCAATCACTGTGGTATCCATGTTTCCTAGAATCATAACCCCTCCATAGCAGAATGATATTGATCGTCTTGGCTACTTGTATGACAACTCTCACCATAGATTCCTCCGCTCTGAACTGATTCCCCACTGACTCACATTGCAAGTTTTCATAGGGCAATTGCCACTTGATTCTCCACAGTCAGAGCAGGTCTTATTTGTGTATTCTGGCTCCTCAGGGCAGGGGAAAGCCATTTGCAAAGATACAAGAAAGTGGCTTTGCCCATTAAGAAGTTTTGTAGCCACTGTTGATCATCTGATCTCTGCATCACAATGTGGCCCCACCAATCTGTGCTTCTCACAGCGCCAGAAGTGGCATACCACTCTATCCACAGGATTGACTGATGGCTGCACTTGCATCAGTGCCAGGGCTTGCACGAGCAGTGACTCCATGCCAAGTGGAGATTCCTCCTCCTCCTTTTTCTGGCAAAGCTCTCAAAGTGCACCATGACTCACATCAACATCAGTATGATTTACTGCAAACTGGGATCCATGCGTGCTGCTATTGCATCTGTGTGGGAAACCAGGGCACAGAAAGGCGCAAGCGCACTACTTCCTGTTGATCTCATGCAAGGAGGGACGGACTAGTCAAGTGCATTATGGGACAGTGATGACATGGGCCCATAACCACCTGCTGCAGAGTTTTGGTCCCAGCAGACACTGGGAACACAGCCTATAAAGGTGCATCACTCTCTGAGATGATGATAGGCTCCCTAATGGGGATGTGCTACTATGGACTAGATTCAATTCAGGGCTGACTTATCCAGTAGGCACAGTCCCTAGGGCCCACAACACTTTTAGGGGCCCACGAAAATGTTTTAATTTCTTTTAAAATCAGAAGGAAAAAAATGAAACTTTTAGGGTCCACGAAAATCTATTAAATTTTGCCTAAAACAGGGAAAAAAAAAATGTTGAAGTATTTAAAGTTATATCAAAAATAATTTTTAATATTTTTTTATGGAGGAAGGGGGCCACGAAGGCAAAAGTGCCTAGGGCCCACAAAAGTCATAATGCGGCCCTGATTTGATTCTTTCCTTCCGTGAGGATACAGACCTTCGACTTTGCAAAATCAGGTGCTCAGAAATCAATCATATTAAATTCGAGCTTACCTCATAGTGTAGACATGGCATTAGGAAAATCTTCTGTTTTTGTGAATTGCTTTGGCAGAGCCAATTTAGGAAAGTTTATCTTTTGCTATGTTGAATAAGTATGTCCTCTAAAGAGAATTTGCTGTTTTAAATGGGGAGAAACATCAATTTTTAAATAACACATTTTTGTTATTCTCTAGAACTAACCTAAAATCAAAAGAAGATGTGAAGTCAGAGAAGAAATCTGGATTTTGGGACAGTTTGGCAATAAAGCAGAACATCCAAAGCAGGAAACCAGATCAGATTGAAGGGTGGGAACCACCACAGATTACTGCTGGGGACCCCATCAGTGATGCAGGAAATACGTTAAGTGACTATTCATCCTGGTCAGGCTGGGAAGATGAGACCAAAGGCTCCACAAAATACACAAACCTGGCTAGCTCAGGAAATAGTTCCAGGTGGAGTATCAAATCAGCGGGAAAGCTGGTTAGTATTAGAAGACAGAGCAAAGGTAACCTTACTGATAACTGGGAAGAACTAGAATGATATTGATAATGTGAAATACTTTACAAATAAGAATAGAAAAGGTTCATGATTTACATGTGTATTTAAACCAAAATTAAATCTGCTCAGTATTGCACCTTTATACAGTACTTTGTTTTATTCAGCTTGTTAGAGATTTTTGCTCACAATACAGTAAACTTTCTTACTACATTGTTAGATAGTTAGGTTTTCCAGACTGAAAAGTTGGAGAACCTATTTTGTGCCTATATTTCATATTCAGATTCTGCAGTATGGGTTGGGTGGGTTGTTGGTTTTACCAAAAAGAAAAAAAGTAATTCTTTAGTAAATGTAACATACAGGTTATAAATTTTGACTGCCTTATGTAGTAACTTCCACAAGCCTGGGTCCTGGGTTTTCTGATTTTTGAGGATCACTCAAGGTTTTATTTTGTTGCTATCTCCTTAAGTAACGGTATCGATTTGTAGCTTGCCTCAAAAATGCTTCCATTTGATACACTATTTCTAGATCTTCAGTGTGATGAGCACATGCTTCTCTGGTTTGTCCATACAAGATGCTAAATGTTCACAGTGTGCTGTATATATAGTACATGATATGTGAAAACACAAAATGAGTCTTCCAAAGTTTATACTGAATGGTCTTTGTCATTATGAAAAGTTGGCAATTTTTTAAAACAACAAATTTGTCAAGCTAAAAATAAAATGTAAATAATTATTAAACACCAGAAAAGTGGACATTACAGTTGGATGTAAGGAGAGTTCAATATTTTAAACACTTACCATTCAATCTAGGGATATATTGTTTTTCATAGAAGTGGTGAATGGTTTTGTTTTACAAAAGCTGGTTCTTGTTCTCCTTCAAATTGTTTAAGGAGAACAGTGCCCTTTGGCATTTTCAGTGTAGCTGAGCAATTGCAAGTACACGCACACACACTCAAGCTTTTTTATTTTTATTTTTGTTTAATTATTTTTTTGTTATAAGGCTCCAGTTTACTAGCTTACTGGTTCTTTTATTTTTAGTGAAAAGGGGCATAGCCTGAAACTTTACACTAGAGTTATGAGATGTAAATAAAACACTAAAAGTGCCTCTTTATAACATGCCTTTATTTTTAACGATGTAATTAGCAGTATGTCCAACATCAGATCTAAGACCAGTTTCCATTTTGTTATATGTATATATTGTATAAATACTACTATAACTCTAAAAAAAACCAAAACTGTTTCATCAAAATACAGATGTTAAGATTTTTCTCTCCTGAATGTTAAACTGTTTCAAAGTTACAAATTAGATACAAATGACATAGGTAGTATGCTAACTTTTTCTATATTATATATTCTACAGCAATATGACCACCATGAGTAGGAAGCTCAAATGTCCTTTTCAGACATAATCAAAACCCCTTAAACAGTATGTTTTAATTTATTATATATGCAAAGCATGTCTTGTTGTATAAACATTTTTCAAAAGAAGCCTCCTTTCAAAAAAAAAACTTCTGATGTTTCCCCTCTTTCCACTGCAACATTCCCCTTCCCAATACACATAACTATGTTATGTCCTTCTGGTTTGCAGTATCCAAATAGATATTCATCTGATGTCAGTGAAATCTCTGCTATATAGATCTGCCGTTTGAGGAAAAACAGTACGTCAAAGCATTTCTTTTCAAAAGTAGAATTGGTTTAAAATTCTATAAACGAATATCAGTGTTTGGCTGCTGCAAAACTGAGACCCTTGATTTGTAAATGTATAAATACAAAAATTATTAATATGGGAGAAAGGGCTGGAGTTATGTTATGCTGTATATAAGTTATATATTATTATTATTTGGCCCGATTAGCAAAAATAAAAATTCACCTTAGGCAAGAAACAGGTTTATACAAACTTCAGTCCAGGGCATGAGAATAGAAGATCCTTGCTATTTTTTTTGAAGTGTGCGCTCTGATCCACGATTAATGGAAAGCACGTATAGAGTAGGAACAAAAAGTGTGGCATGTTGATAGCGCTAACATAAAGGGATTGAAGCAAATCTGTTAGTAAGCCTCAATATTTTACTGGGGAAGAAGGGTCAAGGATGCCATTTCTTCCTCCTGTGGAAGCTCCATTTATACTGTTAACCAGTAAAAGTTATGCCTTGCACATTATACTGTTAAGTGCCTGTATTTCACCTTGATGATGTATTTGTGATGCACAGCTTAACTGAGAAGTAATTTTCATTTTTTGTTCTTAAATTTCCAGTAAAGGATAGTGTCACAAAGCTGAAACTTATTATAAAAGGAAGTTATATCTAAATGAGATATGTAAATGTAAGGTCTGACTTTCTTAGCGATAAAAATGTTTTTAAAAAAATGGTTTCCTCAGACAATTCTTTATAAAGACAGATATTAAATTTAATATTATTTATTCTTATGCTTTAGTAGCATTTCTGTTTTGAGAACATAGTGATGTGACATTTTCTTTTGTAATATTCATAGACTTTTTGTTAAATATCTACCTAAAGATTATAATTTTTTTCCTTTAAAATGTTTAACTACACTATACATTTATGAACTTATGCTATACATAACTCCATGTCTGAAACAGGAGTAGAATATGCCCCTTAAAGTTTGTTTTTGAAATTGTATTTCAGTCTTGAAGAACTGGTTTTGAAGAAGATGTCAATGAAATTATAAATTAAGATTGCACAAAATTAATAAAATATTGTTTATATTTTTCATTGCCAATCTGCATGATTGTTATCTTGAACTTAATGGAAGTAAAATACTCCATAGTTGTAACTAGTCATTTAACATTAAATAAAAGTTGTTTTCTGGGTATTTTTATTTATTAGCCTCACTTGCAAAAATATAGTATTTTCACATCTTAATAAAGAATCAGTTTGAACTGAAATGCCTCATTCCATCATTTTTGTTCCATATTTATGCCTGTTTAACTGATCTTATTTGCCATAATGCTATGTGATTAGTTAGTTTGGAATTCTTGCGTTCTTGAGTCATCGTAGAATTTATCCAAGGAAATATTAGATATGTCTAAACAAATGCATGTATTGAATGATGAATTTTTTAATTCTAGAAGTAGTAAATATTGTTGCTTTGAAGCATTTGCCCATTATTCTTGTAGTGAGAGAACTTGATTATCTTGATAGATAAGAAATGCTCTCTTTACTGATATTCACTTTTTTATTATTAAATCCGTAAATGTTGTGAAAGCAAGAACAGAATGGTACATTGTTGAATGGTAAAGATTTCAAAGTTAGTAATATGCTATCTTTATGTAGGAAAAACATCTCAAGATGCTGATTCCCTCTTGCTTGTTTACTAATTTTGTCAGGATTGTGATATATAGCAAAGGTCTGAGAGAGGCTTATTAGGGTTTATTGTATGTTTTGTTTGTGTTGGGTGAAAAATCTGACAAAAGGGATTAAAATTCTTGTATGCTTTTTAATCTCATGTAAACTCTGACCTAGTTGCACAAGAAAGGAGAACTGCTTCAAAAGTAAATTGCAAAGTCTTGTCTATGACAAATGGAAGAGACTGTTAACTTTACAATATGGGAAGTCAGTGTCATCAATTTTTGTGTTTACTGAAAGATGCAAGAAAACAATTATATTGTCTTCCCTTTAATAGTTTATTAAAGGATTCAATAACTTTGTCTGTTTCAACTTTTGTACTGCTGAGAGCAGGGTGGATAAAAATTGATTTATTAAAATCATTTTTTAAATTCAAATGTAGCTTTCTTTAAAAAAAAAAAATACAAAACCTGTTTAGTACAGGTTGAACCTCTCTAGTCTAGCACTCTCTGCTCCTGCAACTTTTGTGATCTGTCATCATTTTAGTTAGTTGTCTGCTTATCAAGGCTGTGGCTAAGTTTCCCATGGTCTTGTAATGTTTGTTTACAGCCATCAGTCTTGGTTCTCAGTGTTCTGTGCTCTTATTTAGCTATAAATTACCCCTAAATATTTTGTAACAGATCAACAAGCTGTGGAAGTGCTGGTAATTCTGCAAAGCATAAGCATGTTTTTATGCTTTACCTACTTATTTCTTTGTGCCAACACAATGAAATTGTCTAACAACACTATCACTTTATTTTCAAAAGAGCTGATAAGCCTTGGTTAGGTGTAGGCTTATTAGGGTATAATCAGGACAGTCATACATTATTAAGTAGCATTGCAAGCATCTCCATGTATTCATTTTATCCATTTGTTTGCCATGGTGGAAAAAAAAAAAAAGAGACCCACTCGCTAATATCTTGACCTCCCATGGTTTGGCAAATTCTCTGGTTCAGCACCAGTTAGGTCCTGAGAGTGCGGGACTAGCGAGATTCAAACTGTAGTAAATTTGAAATAAGTAACTTGTGTTACAGCCTAAATCTAATCTATTAAATTAGTTTAAATAATACACATGTATTGCTTAATTTTTGTAACCCTTTTGCCAGGTGGGGCCAGCAGCAACTAGCACCAGGTTCAGTTTTTAGGGGTTCAATTATAAACAATACAATGCAGAACTCAAGACTCCACCCAATAACCTGGGAAAATTGGACATCGCTACTGGGTGCCTCTGAGAGGCAATACTTCTCCACTTGTAAGCAAAGAGTCTGACTGTAGAAAAGAAACTTATAATGAAAGGAGGAAGTCCCATGGCATCAGTTAGGGTGCGTCTACACAGCAGGGATAAAGTCAAATTAAGATGTATGCAACTTCAGTACGTCAATTGCGTAGCTTAATTCAGCTTTTGGTGCTGCCTACACAGCAGGAAGTCGAAGGAAGAACACTTTTCCTTCTATGTCCTTTACTCCTTGTAAAATGAGGGTTATAGAAGTCAGAGTAAAAAGCCCTCGAGCTCAACATTATTTCAAAATAATGGCTTGTAGTGTAGATGCACTTTGTTATTTCGGAAGGGTAGGTGTACCCTTAGGGAAAACGCCACTAGGGATGTTTAGCACGTAGTCATTTACATGAATAACCAATAAACCTGGTCTTAATGGTTAATCCTAATGACTACATGCTCTCCTTTGCTGCCTCTGTATCCGCTCCCCCAGCAGCAAAGGCAGCAAGGGGGAGGGAAGCAGGAGCTTTTAAGTATGTGACCCACAGGCTGTGTATTGAGTGACCCTGATCTTGCCCATAGTGATTGTCAGCTGGAGGGGCACAGAGAGGGGAGGGATGATACTGAGAGTGGCTACTGAGGGTAACTGCAGCACCAAGACAGTGGCCAGAAGAGCTGGGGCTCTGCCATCTTGCCTGCCAGCACATCATTAAGGAGCACCCCTACCCCAAATCTGGAGCTTGTCCCCTCCATGGAGAGCCTGCAGGCTGTGAGGGTGGGGGTGCTGGAAGCAGGGACAGCCCCAGAGCCTGGTAATGCCCCAGATGGGGGAAGCCTCCAGAGCCTTGCCTCCCCCCACACAGCCTGCCAGTTGTGGGAGGGAGGGGCAGATGCAGGGAAGAACAGCCCCAGAGCTCAGCCCCTCCCCAAACAGCCTGCAGGCCTCCAGCTCCCAAGGAGGAGTTGTCACCAGCATTACACCACCTTTGTAATCGGGGCGGCCCCAGTACCCCCTTCCAACACACCTTCCCTCTGCCCTGAGTGCTGCACCTCTCACCTGCCTTGACCTCAGCACCCTCCCGCTTCCTCCCCCCACATTCCAACCTCTGCCTTAAGCCACTGACTGCTGCACCTTCTCACCCCCTAAACTCGCTCTCCAGCCTTCATGTTAAAGAAAATCATTAAAATAAAGGATGTGTTTCTTTCATTTATCCTCCCTCCCTCTTCCCCCCCC